ATCGCGAATTATGTAAAATACCAATAACTTATGTGAAAATGAACTAGGTAAACATGCGTAAAGGTTATAAATAATAGAAACATGAACGAGACAAATACATAGTAATATGAGTAATAATGAGAATTAGTGCATTAGAGTTATGATTTATGGAGAATTGAAAAAAACTAGATAAGATTGAATTATAGAATGATCTGATAATAATATCACTTAAGAAATTTGAATATAAAATGATGATATGCACATAGTATAAGATATATGTTTATATATGACATAGGTTATGTGTTATATGATAAATATGAGCATATAAGAACAAGGATAAAATAAGTGAATTTGTGATGGAAGTTATATGACCATGAATGATGTAAATAGGAATAATTTAAGTACTATGTAACTATGAGTATTTGAGTATGTATCTATGTGATGTGATATATGAGGCCATATGAAATATGTTATAGAAATTACATGATGGTATGTTTGTTTCATGGTATATGATATATATGGTAAGAAAAGGGGTTAATGGTTATGATAAGAATAATAAGGATAATGAAATAACATGTATATGTGAATATATGTATATGAGAAGATATAAGAATAAGATATAAACAATGTAACAAGAAGAGTGAAATGACATGAAAAATTGATATAAGTTATGAAAAAGTGATCTACGTGACTATATGTATATGAGATCCAAATTATGTGAACATATGAGAATACATGTCTATGTGATGAGCTATGTGAAAGTAAATACATATATATGAAGCATAAGAAAGATGCCCATGTTATATGATACGAGAGCTACAGGTAGTTGGCATGCTAAGAGTCGAGGGTCTACGCGGTCTTTCGGGACAAATACATAGGTCTTTCGGGACAAATTTCATATGCCACTCAGTGGGACTTATACGAGCTGTGGTGACAGCAATAGTGCACAACCTCAATGTACTCACATACCTTAAGTTCTCACAGGTGTACATGGGCTAATAAAAAGATTAAACAGATATTGAATGGGATATGTACGTGTGATTAGTTATATAGAATAAATTACAGGATTCATGTATTGGAGTATTGCTTGGTTAGTGCATGATATATTGATAATGGTATATATATATGTGTGTATTGATTATATGAAAGGTTATATGCTTTTAGTTATATGAACTGTATTACATGAATTATATGATGTTAAGTGCATTTCTTTATAAAATGATATATGATGGGTATAAATGATAAGTATATAATTATACGATAAAGGTAATGATAATAATAGGATAATGATAAGAAGAATATAATCATATATGTACATGTTTGTATTTGATATATGAATAGAAATATGATATATGTACATGTTTGTATTTGATATATGAATAGAAATATGTTTTTTTTTTTATAGGAATTGAAGGCTTCATTAAAAACCTCCCTCTTGATTATAGAGACTTAAAGAGAAGCTCCTTAATTAGCGGAAGGAGGAAAAGAGTGCCTTAGGATTTCATTGAACATAAGAACACCAAAATACATCCAGATATCGACCCCGTACATAAAACAAACACCATAAAACAACCAAAAACACCCCCATAGCAGCAACAGTAGCTCAACCTAATATCAACCACAACAGCCTCTAAAGGACTGACCCAACTAAAAGTCTAACTCTTGACTCTGAGAGCACCAGAAAACAGAACACCTAAAAAGAGAGAAAAAATGACTGCTGACTCAAACCATAGTATCCAAAATAAAACACAGACATCCAGGAGCTTCCATCCACACGAAGAGGGCAGAAAACCAAACTATAGACTCTGGCTCCAAAGCTGGAAAAATGGAATCATAATCTGGCTCCTAGAACATACAAATCTCCCACACATTGAACCTTCTACTGCTGCTTGATTTGGCTGTATCAGGCCATTAATTGGGGACCCGAAACTTTCTCTGCTAACCCCGATATATCTCTGCCATCCATCCTGTCAACCACGCCCCAACCTGTTGGGCATCCCCATCCTGATGGGCCTCCACACCCTTGGAACTACTAATAGCACGCCTCTTAATAATGTTAATCACGTTTTTCATCACCTTTGCCTTTAACCGACCATCCAAGTTGGATGAATCAAAAAAATCCAATATTCTCTCTCTATCACGTGCAGACATACAACTTTCGCTGCTTTCAAAAACTGATTCTCTAGCCCCTTGATCCAGCACATTCTCGTGCTCCACCACATCCTCGAATTCCGATGGAATTATCCCCACACCAGCAGCATAATTCTTTAAGCCCATAATAAAATCCTCCCCTATGTTCCTTTCCACTACTTCCCCACCCGACGAAGCAGCCACTAACTCTTTCCCCCATACAACATAATAGACTTTCTTCATCCACAGAACAACTCTCAGAAATCTTCTCCACCGAAGAGTCCTCGTTTCTGCCAGCTCCCTCAAGACATACCTCCACCACGGTAGAATTAACTGGCGAGACACCGACGAGCTCCCCCCCAAAGATAACGGGGAGGCAACTGCCTCATCCATCAAGAACGAGTCTACCCAGACTGAGTCGGGACTGAAACAAGGCTCAAACTCAGAAATACAAACTGTAAATAACAAGTCCCCGGCTTTCAAACAACGGATTCTTCCACACGTGTTTGACGGTTTGTAATAATTTGAAACAAAGCCCTTTCAAAAGAACCTGGATTCACAGATCCTTCGTCAATGGAGATAAGTTCTCCCCATTTGTCTGCAATGCTTCTGAAGGTGGAGGGATTCCACAAAAACGGTGGGATCCCTTTGCACGAAAGCCACGCCCGACGGCTGCTGCAATGAAAGTTTTCCGACCACACTTCTACTTTGCCAAAACATTTATTCAATGCCCCCATCTGATTATTCAGCGTGAAATCCCTACTCTCATCATCTTTAAAAATGATTAGAACTGCTAACCCGCTTAGCCTCATGATTTTCGGGCCTAAAATGCCTTCCTTATGCATTATGGCAGCCAACTCATTCATCTTTAAAAAATTTCTGCACCACCCTATTAAGCTGCCTCTGCAAGTTAGCAGTTTGTCCTCGTCAACAGAACCCACAATGGGAGCCTCTAAATGCCCAACATCCTCCCTTTTACTCTTGATCTCGGCTGGTTTTAAACCCGAAAACTTCTTTCTCCAAAAAGCTTCCCGGGGTTGAAATCTGGCCAAAAAAACTCTAACTTCATTGCCGCGAATCCTAGATCTGTCAACACAGTTGATAGCCTTCCTTGCGTCCTCCAATCTGGTGAAACGAACAAGCCAAACCTACTTCCTCCCTTGCTTCTTTTGTTAGGGATGAAAGAATCGACCACCTCTCCATGTTTATCGAATACCAGCCAAAGCCCTTTATGATGAAGACGCTCTGGAATGTTGAAAATGATCACCGTAAAACAATTTTTCCCAGCAGAACTAGTCACCTTACTTGCCATCATAAGACGACCCGAAGAAAATCTCAAGCTTGGATTTAACGCCAAATCCGATATAACACAAGCACACGCGTTGACGATTGAACCAAATTCTCAACTCGGAAGGCAATTAAATCATATTATAACAAAAATCTGAAGCAAAGCATAATTTGAAAACTGATCGGAATCCTTCTTTCTTCAAAGATACAGAGAATGCTCGGTAGAGCCAACAAGGGCGGCAAAATTGAAGAATCAGTCAGCTTATGTTCATTGTGGAAGTATATCCTGATGATGACTTCGAAGCGAGCAAAACAGGAAGTCCCTGTGTTCAACGGGAAATACTTTCCGATGATACGGATGATATAGTTACCGAATTTATCGCGTCACTGATGGCAAAAGAACTGGAGGAGAACGAGGTCGGAAAAATCCTGGGGACAGTCGAGCCAGTGGTCTTGGTCTTCGATTTCAGTGTCGTGGTTGAAAAAGAAAGGACGGGATCTATACCCAATTCGGAAGCAAGCACCGCCACTGAGAAATCATCATTTGACGAACTCCACGAACCTTTTTAATTTCCTGTCTGACGGGAGAATTTCGTCTGAACGCGAATTTTTTCTTCTAGATCTACTCCGATTTATTTCGATTTTGAAAAAAACCAACGTCCGATCTATGCTTGGGGTGAAGAGAGGATTCAAAAGGTGTATTTTTCTTCCTTTTCCGATGCCGCCGAGCGACGGTTGGAGACTATTGACGGTGACTGTCGCGGCAGCGAAGTGGTGGCCGACCACTGGGTTTGAGAGGAAAGATGCCGGGGAGTGTGGATGTGGTTTACAAGGAATGGAAATTTGAAGTTTGAAATCGCCTGAAATTTGAAATTTGAAAACGCCTGGTTAGAGAGAAGCTGGAGCTTCTCTCACTTCGTTCCTACCTCCTATTATTTCCTTGTCCTGTTGAAAATATGTTGGTGCATGATATGATAGTAGTACTTGTTCATGCATGATTATAAGTTAGATTTTTTTCTATTATATGTTTATATGCCTCACTAAGTCATAGACTTAATGTGTGATTGTTTCACATGTAAGTTACAGAACGAGGAGAGAAGCTATGAGGAGCAAGACAAGTCAGTATCTTCCTTACAATGTTTCAGATCAGAAAAGAGATGATTTTGATGTATTTGGTTATTTTGAATATAGTTGGCATGTACGAATTGATTGAGTTGAATAGCTCTGATTGGTTTGTAAAACAATTTGATTATACTTATTTATGAAAAGTACTCTCAAATGATGAATTTAAAATTTTGGTGGATTTGTAAAGAAAGGAGTTTTGAAAAGTCAATGTGACTTCTCGGACTCGTATCTGGGTCGGGTACAGATAGGGGTGTTACATTACACATGCTTACATAAATCATATTCTTTCAATGCCACAAATCATGTCATAAAATACATGCTCATTATAATCACTTACTTAAATCAAACATCATGGATTCACATCATTAATTTTAAACAAGAAGTAAAAAAGTTTACAACCTTAGATTTAAAGTTCACACATACTAAACCTTCATTCAACATTAAACACATTCATCACGAGTGAATGGACAACCACTCACCTCAATGGCGAAATAACACGATCCGACCCCAAACGCTAACTAAATGACCACCCACTATTGATGCACCATTTTTCCTCAAACATAGACACATTAGGTACCTTAAAATCAATTCAACATGTCACAAAAACCTCCAAAATAGAAAATAAAATTATGCTTCTAAAATAGAACGAAAATTGAACAAAGAACCGAAACCTTACCATCCACGCGATCTAAACATTCTAACTTCAGAATATTTGCTTCCTCACACTTAAGCTTATTCTAAACAATCGTAAACTTGATTTAGAACCCAATAAATCTCCCAAAACTAGCAGCTAACACAAACATTCCTAAATTTCCGAAAATCACTAAAATCATCTTTTCTTGCTCAAATCAAAATGGAAATTAAATCCAATTGAAAACCTTTCTGTTATCATTATAATCAACCTTTAAACATCTTAAATCCATAAATAATCAATAGAAATAAGATCAAGAAAATATCCCTTTTATTTATTCCGAAAATCAACCCAAAATGAAATATTTCTAATCACTTACGAAATCATGAAATACTCATTGATATAAAAAATCTTTTAATCAGCAAAGCTTCAAGAAAGCCAAAAAAGCTTACCTTGCTAGAAATGGAAGGAGATAAGATGGAAAAGATGAATATGAAGTTGAAGAAGAAGCCAAAGAGACCCCTAGGAATAATCAGCCAAAAATGAGAATTAAAGAAGAAAAGATTAAAAATTTAGAAAGAGATGATCAAAAGAGAATAAAATCAGCGAATGAGATGGGCATTTGAAAGAGGAAGTTTTAGGCATGTGAAGAAAAATCAAAGAAATAGAGAGAGAATTTTTGGGTTGCACAAAACGTGATAAAAAGGTGGAAGTTAAAACTAACTTTTAATTAATAAAATAATTCATAGATAAGGATGAAAGAAAACGCAGTGGAATTGAGAGAAAAAGAGAACAATCACAACCTTGGTGAAATTGCTTTATAGATTTTTAAGATTTTGAAATTATTCGATTAGTCATTTAATTTGTCTTATTTTAAAAATAGTCTAAATGTAGTCACTTAAATAATTCAATTGAACTTATTAAATATCACAATTAATATTCAAAAATCATTCGGAAATATTTTAGAAATATTTCCCACTTCAAAATTAAAAAATAATATTTTATCATAAATCACCGAAATTACCCGATTATAAGCCCGATTCAACTCACCCGGATTTTGGGATGTTACAATGAAGGTTGATTTCAGCGCCCCAAAGGTCATTAATGTACAGTTGCGTGATGGAACCACAACTTGGATTAAGGTGGTCATCTCATGGATTCTCCCTCATTGCTTTCACGATCATGTTTTTGATCATAATGAAAGGAGTTGTGCATAGGAAAGCTAGTCAACAAATTTGGGTGCCTAAGAATTCGTCTGGAGGGTCTCAACCAGTGTGTTTGATGACACAATAGTTTTAGATGTTGTTTTTTATGTTAGCAAGGATTATGCTGTAGTTGTAACTGAGGAGGTTGTCTTGGATGATGCAGATAAGGCTGGTGCTATTGATTTAAATCAAGATCGAACTATGAATTGATGTGGGGCAGTTGTTGATCAAACAGCTACTTTGGATACGAATGGAGCAGGTTTGGTTGGTGCCATAATAGATGTTCCTGCCAAAGGTGATTCGATAACAGTTGTGGATAATCTTATTCCTAGTAAAGGGAAGTATGTTTTGATAGTTGCTTCTCCCACTGAGGCTAAGCATATTAGGGAGGCTACGAAGGGTGTTGCTATTTTAATGCAGGGGTTAAAGAAAAATAAAAAGAATGCTCGTAAGGAGTAAATGCAGCGTAATGGCACTTCCTCTCCTATTTTTTCATGAAGTTATTATCCTGGAATACTAGAGGGTTAATAACCCTCAGAAGCAGTTAGGTGTTTTAGAGAAAATTAACTGTTTGGACGTTGATCTTGTTTGCTTGCTGGAACCAAGTTAGGGAGTACAATAAATAGGTTGTTTGGAGGAAATTCTTTCCTGATTGGAAATGGTTTCATAATTACGCCTTCTCGGAGCTTGGAAGAATCTGATTATTTTTTTTACGAAAACGCTTTCATTGTGGAGGAAGTGAATATTTCTGACCAATGCCTTGTTTGGTTTAGGCTAGCGGGGTTAAGTTTTATGTCTCTGGAGTGTATGATTGTAATTTGGGTTCGGATAGACTGAGGCTTTGGAAGCAGCTTGTGGATCTCAAGAGACTTATTGGGGATAGCCCTTGGCTGGCGACCGGAGATTTTCAAATTGTGGCTTCTCATGAGGAGATTCAAAAATAATTAGCAGTTCTTGGTTCACGATATGGATGCGCTTAATATGTGTACTAGTTCTATTGGGTTGTTGGACCACACTTTTAGAGGTCCTACCTATAACTGTCAGGATGACACTTTTTTAACTCGAAATTTTGATAGGGTGATGGTTTCTACTTCTTTGATGGAGGCTTTCCCAAGCCTCAGGCTCAAGTTGAATTTCTTGTTTCAAGTCTTTCCGATCATTGCCTAGCTTTGATTAGAATGGATAGTATGCATAATTAATTAACTAAACCTTTTCAGTTCTTTAATATTTGGACCAATGATTCAGATTTTCTTAAGATGATGGAAGAGAGTTGGGTGGAGCCTTTACTGACTGTTGATCCTATGCGAGTTCAATTTCTCAAGCTGAAAAGATTAAAACCAATGTTAAGGAATTTTATTACAGTCAAGTATGAGCAGCTGGTTGGGTGTCAAATCCAACAAATAATAATACATGCTTTAAGAAATATAAATTGTAGTAGTGATAAGCAAGGTCGAATCCACAGGGATTGAGTAGATTTATTTTAATGAAAATTAAAACAAATAAAGGGGTTTTGAAATTGAGAAAAATCAAAAGAAAAAACAATTATAATCAACCAAAAATTTAGAGAAATTAATATTAAGCAAATAACCAACTAAAGGTATAATTTCAAAATTGGTTCAGAGAATTGATCATAGATGCAATGATAAAATCTTCTACTTTTCACTAAATTGGTTATGGTTATTGACAAGCTCTAACAACCTGTCTCTCCTTAGTTTCTTTATAATCAAGAGAAGTTCTTTGATTATTTCCCTTGTTAACGAACAACCCTAGACAAGCTTAAGATTTAATCCACCAACATCATTAACCACTAGAGAGACCACCAATTCTAGCCAACAAATACACAAGCTTGATTCATTTAGACTAGATTATATACCTTCATAACATAATCAAAAATCAACTATGTTACTTACCACTAATATTAGAACGTTTAAACAATTACGGATTTAAAATTCTAAATGACAATTTATCAACCTGATAATTGAACAACGGGCCCTTGCACAATCAATCAAGACAATAATTCTTAATAAAACAGAAATATATAAACGGAGAAGTAAAAGAACAATGAAAATTATAGATCTCACAATCCTTGAAGAACCAAAACTTCAATTATCCTTTAGTTGGAACAAAAGTATTAGCTACTCATAATGAAAAACACCAAAAAAAACAAATGGAGTATGAAAATAATCTTAGAGAAAACTTAACCTAAAAAACCTAATGCCTCCTATGAAAACCCTAGCTCCCCTTTTATAAGGATTGTCCTATTCTAGATAAGGAAGTTTCCCTCACAGAAAATCCCACAAAAATAGGGGTTTTAAATACCCTCATCCTTTTCTAACGATAAGGATGATTCAAAGAGTCTTTCATCCGTCATTAAACTCTTTTTCCTTTGAAATTTGTAACCCTAATTTAGGGTTATACAGACTAGTAAGGTGTGCTCACGCCTTAACTGAAGACTTCTTCTGCGATAGCTCAAGAAATAAGTCGTGCCCACGCCTTATGCGAAAACCTCTTCTTGTCTTGCCAACTTATTGAATTCCAATTTTTCCTTCTTAATTTGAGGATCTCGTGAAGATCATGCTATTCATTGGATTTTGAACTTGTTTACTTTAAATCTTCAACCTAATCCACAAAATACAAAATATAATCAAAATCTATGATTTAAGCAATTTTAGTATTCAAATATGAGGAAAATATAATAGAATATGTCTAATATGCATCTTATCAAATTCCCCCACACTTAAACCAATGCTTGTCCTCAAGCATACAATAGTTCAAATTCTAACTTCTCAACATCAATCATTCTTCTTCCTTTACTCATCCTTCCACAATCAAAATTGGTATGCCTTAAAGACTCAAATCTAGACACAAGTAATTCATAGAAGAAATTCTCATAAACCAACACACATGAATAATCACTCCATCAATCTTTTCGAAATCAAAATGCAGTGGGATCTAATACCCTCACATTGGATTCACTCAATACGCTCGAAGTGTTTAGGGTGTCAATAAACTCTCAAGCCAAAACATAGAAAGATTTTTACCATAAGCTTGCTAACCTATCACATCCCCACCACTAATCAATGAATTGTATGGCATAAAACCTCAGAGTCTTAAACAGGGTGTAATGGGGCTTACGTGAGGTTTGGTAGGAAATGAATTTGAGTTGTTTTATCGAAGGAGTCATACAACTTATCCACATGGAACTCAATCTCAAATGTTATATTTAAGCCACATAACTTTTTTTTTCATTGCACAATCTCTCTTTCTTCCTTTCCTTTGCATATTTTTTTCTTTTTTCTTTAAATGAAAGAGATGCAACTCAAATTACTTTATTCCATCTTCCTTTCTTCTCAAGATAATTTGAATTCTCATGTGAAGAAGCTCATACAATCCTCCAATTCAAGGTTCAAAAGAGGGAAAATTAACAAAAATGATTTGATATTTGCTTGTACCATGGTTAATTTCGAATAAATGGTCCAGGCTGAAAGTTGGCTTTCTAAGGATGATAATTAGGGTAGGCTCTTTACGAAAGCTAAAAGTGGTTTCACCTAAATACCTTATCGTTCTTGATACATCCAATTCTAGAATGTGGTCTTCGACATGTATAGAAAAACAAGTTCTAGAAAAATTAACTATGTTTGGCAATCACTCAATCAAGAAATGGAGCATGCTGAAAATGAGTGCTCATTGACCCAAAAACTCGCAAAAAGGGTAAACATGTATCAAATCCCACACATTTTCATTTAATCAGTCATCAAGAGTAATCAAACAGTGTGTAGAAAATAAGAATTCAACTACTAAAGCTAATCCCCTATTATGCTTCAACTTAATTCGATAATTCAAAACAATCCAAATCATGTAAGGACAAACATCGAAAGAATCTAGAATTTCGAAGAGAAAAATCACAAAGAAGAACTAAAGCATACTTGTTTTTTTCAAAATTGAAGCAAAATTATGTTCAAAGCAAAATCATATATGAAATACTCCCCCCCACTTAGTTCATATATTGTCCTTAATGTATCAAAAGTATATGCTCAAAACCATAAAAGAATAAAAGTAGAACTCCCTGAAAATGTTGAGCATCAACCATGATATATGTCACGAGTTGGGGGTGAAGCTGTTGTTCGTCGGCTGGGTTAGTTTTCGGACTGAGCGGAAGCGTGGGTCGGGTGGAGCGGGGAAGACAGTTGGTGGCGTGCATTCTTCTGAAGGAGCAGAGAAAATAAAGAAAATATAAGGCATATTATATTTTAAAAAGTTTCTTCGAATCTTTCTTCTTAAACCAGAAGTTGTTTGAGTTTAGACGTGGGCACAACTTATACAAAAACATCTTCTAGATAGTGAGAGACTTTAGGAATATTTCTACTTTTATAAGGTATGCCCATGGATTACAAAAATCATCTTCTGGCCTAAAGAATAAACAAGATAATTATACTCCGAAAAATCAAAAATCAAATAAAAATAAAAAAAA